TTTGTCCACAGAATGTGGACAGGATAACAAACCTGAAATTAATAGCTAAGATTGTTGAATCTCATCCAATTGTTTAGAATTTGTCTCATAACGACTTTTTGTCACTCTACCAATTCTCGACATACAGTGTGGCATGAAAGTATTCGAACAGCTTTTAAAACGAAATTGCTTTTGTATTATAGGGCCAAGTGATCTAAATTTTTTTTAGATGTTAGAGGTATTGGTTTACTAGACAGTGATGTTTATTTTAGATCTCGGCAATTTTAGACGTGTTAAAAATTTCATCGAAGTTAGTTGTCGTTATGATTTAGAACAAATTGAAGATCGCAAAAATCGCAGTTTTGACATGATTTTTAACACTTTTGACCAAAAACTGTAAGAAATCTGCAGTTTTTGAAATCTTTCAATACTTGTAGCTTGACTATGAATTAATAGATTTCGATCAAAGTCTCAGCACTCATATAAGTTATCGGAATCTACGAGAGACATTTGTTATAGGCTCAGACAAAAAGATTAGAAAGCGGGAGCTCTTTTATTTCTTTTGTCATTTCAAGTAAATAACAGAAAAATTGAATCGAAGCATTTTAGTCATTACGTAGTACACTGTTTTTTTAAAAAAGGCGATCGAATACTTTCGTTTCCTACTGTATAATATTCACCTCCGATTTCCGTTCCGTTGTGCTTGCTTAAATTCGTAGGTTGTCCACTCGATAACTCCGCAACTATGAGTGCGGCAATGGTAAATGCGAGGCACGTCAGTGAGAACTTCTGCATTTTGGAACTGCCAATTTCTTTGTCTGAGAATCACCAGCAACGATTGTATCTGCGATGCTGACTATCGTATCCAGCACTAACTGTATGTAACGTCGCTGAACGATGTCTGATCCTTGCTGATCGTTGATTATTTTCCTTGGATTCAGCGAACGTGCAACGAACAGAACGGCCGCGACACGAGATCGGGAACTGAGTTGACGATGTAACGAGATCGCGTTATTTTATAACTTCCACTCACAAGGATCACCATTCAATTGATTCATGAAATGACATAGATCTTTTTATACTGGATGACTTATTTAAATCGATAAAAGTCAAATATCTTCGAAACCGTCGACAATACTAAGAAATGTTTCAAACGTAATTTTGAACGCGTCGAGGACTCATGAATTCATACAAATACTAATACATTTATTGCGAAAAAACATTGGTTTAGAAGATATTAATTTTAATATCTTTTGGAGACAATAATAAATCTTTGCATTCAGGCTGATGGTATTATTTTTGAACACCAACTTTATATAGGTGAGTGCTCTTACTAAACTACAATGTATTACTAAAATCCAAATGTCTCCTAAACCAATAATTTTTCGCAATAAATGCCATAATATTTTTGTGAGAAGAATCGACTGGTATAATAAAAAATATATGTTTCCATTAAAAAGATGAAGTTGATTTTAACATGTCCCCGACGGGTTCACCTAGAAAAATCTTATCAATATCAGGTTACGTGCCCCCGAAAACCATTAAAGTTTCGTTTGAAACATTTTTTACCGTTGCCGACGGTTTCCAAGATATTTGAATGGATCGATTTTGAAGGGTTATCTCGTATTCAATCATATAAATTGCATAAATTAAAAATTTTAAATAGAAAAATTCACGTCGTAGATTGAAAGAATTTTTAATTTTAAGGTGAAAAGTATAAACCTATTTTGATCCAAAACTGAGTGAACAGCTTCTATTTAAATTTTCTGATCGACTAATCTGAAAATTTCGTTAGTCATTAAGTTTATCATCAACATAGGATTATACTTTTTCATGAAAAATTTAGTATTATTTCGGTCTAGAATTAGAGAAATAAATATATTTCTATTTAAAAATAAGTAGACGATTTTGAAGTTTCGGAAAATACATAATATAAAAAAAAAGTAATACGATATCACCTCTCCCAATTATAACTCGACAACTTTCATATTCAAAAATTTTTAATTAGGAACATTATTTAAAAGTTAGCCTCACGCTACATGTGAAAGTGTCATAGAGGATGCAAATATGTAACTTAAAAATTCAACTAGAAGGAGATCTGATAATGAAAAAGCAACAGAAGTGAAAAAAAGGAAAGAAGAAAACTAAAGAAAACGGAATGACAGAACCGTCAGTTCAAATTAATTAGATTTATTATATAAAAGTAAGCTATATGATAGGCTATAATTTAAAAAATTGAGGATAATAATTTTTGTAGATCGGTAGGCATAAAGAAATGAATGATAGCAAACATAATGTTTCTTTCATATCTTAATAGCGAGACAGTCATGGCATTCATAGCTTGGCAATGACTTGAAACAGAACGCGCTTGTGTTTCAAAGAAGGCTGTGCATTTTTCAGCTATTCACTCAAGAATTGTTAATAAATTTTGTATAATAATTAAAGATTAAATCGAAGTTAAAGAATTTATTGTATAGTTAGCTTGAAACCATGCATACTTGATTATTCTTTTGCATCCATTGCTAAAAAATTGATAATACATATCTCTTATCTGATTTGTCGATTATTCCGATTGTCCGGCCTTCATTCTCAAGCCCTTATAATTAGTTTGGTCGCAGTCAGGTTAGCAGAGTATCCATAAATAAGTGTTGCTTGCAATATCTAGTAAACGGTTGACTTTATGATAAAGAACGTCAAAGGAATCTTTTATGTTTTTACATAGAAAAAAAAAAAAAATATATATATATATATATATATATATTTTTTGGATGTATATATATATATAAAGGTGTTATATATAAATTAATGCCTCATCCCGAATCTTGTTGATGGTTATGCGTAATAAAGGATATAGATCATGAATTTATATATGAAACTTTTCTCTTTTATTCCAATCAAAATTTTTCTCTTTGGTTCCAATCCGGTGGCACAGAAATTGAGACGTACACGAAAACTGGGACATCCTACCTACGCTGATCATGCTTGTAAAGCGAGTTATTAACACAAATTTACCAGCTCTTTATTCGAAACACTCTGATCTAACGCACTACACATATTGATTTCGCAGATGAACGGAAACCGTTTATCACTTCCGTTGGACTCGGCTCCATCATTGAAGCCGTACTTTTTCCTGAGCATCCCACAGCGGTTCTCTTCGTTTGTAATACTCGGCTCGTATTCAGCCCATGGATTATACTCCAACTTGTCGACAAACTGGCTGGTCACGGTGGTCCATGACCCTCTTTCAAACAGATCGTGGAAGCTTAACCAGAGACCTCCCAAATACTCCTTATATATCCACTCGTGAAACTTGCTTTCATTTTCCGCGGAATCTAACACGGCCAAGTGTGCTGCAAGACAAATGTCCTTTATTTCCTTGCTCTTTTTACGAACTATACCAGAGCTCGGAATCAACCTTTTAGGCACGACGCGTCATCTTTCAGAACGACACGCCACTATAGTAGCTTTCGCGGATGTCATCTCTCTGGACGACGCGCCGCTATAGTGGCTTGCTCTAGTAGCTCTCTCGCTCATCGTTTGAACCAAATAATCGTCTTCATATGCATTGTTCCACACTTCTTTTTACTTCACATCGACTTACAACAGTCTGCAGAGTGTTCCTCGGATCATTTGAAGCAACTTCTTCCTTTACAAAAATTTTCTCCGAGGCACCGTTAACGAGTTATTAACGAAAAACAATGACCAATAATAATCGAGTACGGCTGACGCTAGGCGGCCCAGCCGACCAGTGCACGAAGCTCAGTTCCGCTCATTGGCTCAGTCGCCTCACGCCAGCTGAGCTCGCCTCTCATTGGTCACTGTTTTTCATTAATAACTCGTTAACAGTGCCTCGGAGAAAATTTTTCTAAAGGAAAAAGTTGCTTCAAATGGCCTGAGGAACCCGCCACTTTCGGATTGCGAGACATTTTTGGGACACCCTGTATATACAGACAGAATATACAGTATCAGACTCTGTACAGTACATATCAGACTCTGCCGTCCAGAGAAATAGCCTCGCGCAGAATTCAGCCGTACCTAAAAGGTTAACCAGCACGCAACATGAGTATCGCGAGGGCTACGCCTCCTGACCCTCGTCACGCGTCTCGCTCCGGACGATCGCCTAAATGCTATAAACATACATATGTATAAAGTGACTAGCACAGGCACCTGAGGTGCTCCGAGCCGAAAATGACGGCCACGAGGAACGAGACGCCCGACTGGAGTCAGAAGACGGTGTCCTTGCTATCCTCATGTTGCGTGCTGGTTAATTCCGTGCCCCGAACTATATTATAGTCCTCATGCGACAAAGCATCCTTGTGTTTACATTCCCCCCTCCAACTCGCTACCCCTAGCGGCAATGGCGTAGCTAGTAAGAGGGGGAATGTTAACACAAAAGTGCCTCCTTATTTGGTGAAGGTTATGCGTTCGACGAGAATTAGTATAAAATGTAAACAATTGGTTTAACCCTTAAATGCATAGAGTCCCAAAAATGAATCAATAACTTTTTGCGCGGATACCCGACATCAGTTTTGATATCGATACATTTGGCTGAATGGCAGTGATTCCTTTGTCCATTGACTTATCAAAAATTAACTAAAATAATGACATTTGACTTCAATATTTGTATCTTTCTGACGTTATACCAATTGGCGCGCATTTTTGATAGCGGGTTCATTTACGTACTTTTGGAAGTGGATTATTTAGAAATATTTTGGTGTATTCGTTAAACAAACAATATTTTCTAAAGGTAAGGCTCTTATTTATTAATTTGCTAGTACTTTTGTCTATATT